CCATAAAACAACAAATATGAATTTTACAATATTCAAAAACACTCAAATAAATTAAATTAAAATTACCAAGTCGTTTTAGAAAGATAAAGAATGTTCGATTATTTACAAATATCGAGACTAGATCTTAAAAGCTATAACAACCTTTTCTCGATAAATTTAAATAAACGAACATTTCATTTTCTTTCGTTCCCAAATTTTAAGTGACGAATCAATTTTTTGGTTTCACTTCCGGGATACGCTTTTAATTTAAAATAGTCAAAACGGCTCTCTAATCAGTTAAGACAAGCCACTCAAGACAATTTTAAATTAAAAGGGTATTACCCTTAGTCCGATTATGTATTTATAAGTCGAGTTATGCACATGAGGATATCATACAAATTATGAATGCACCCTAAATATTAATTAAAAAAACAGTACTGATATGTACAAAAAAAAAACCACGATCATATACATGATATTAGATGTATATCTAAAACAATTAATAAATGCCTAAACTATGGCTATATATATATATGTACACGCAGAGTTCTTTAACAAATATCTTAAATAAATATTAATGCAAAGAAAGGCATGAGACATAATTATAAAATATTACATAATATTTTAAGCACCTGGTCATGTCAAAAATATATATATAATATATACATAGAATACCATCTATGCACATACAAGAACATCATAACCACAACAAAAGGCAAGAATCTGAATACAAATATCATACAAGAACAAGCACTAAAATCAAAGTATAACCATTATCCTATAAGAATAAAATGAACCTTATCGTAAAAAGACTTTAAATGTATAAGAAAAGGAAACAAGGTAAAATGAAACTGATGACTAAAATAAAATATGACCAAAATTAAGGGAACTAGATTCATAAATTTATAAGCCTTGAAAAGAGGACTAAAATGCAATGAAATGAAAACGGGCAGACAACAAATAACCCATTAACCAAAAGAAAGCAAATCCTATCCTAAATGCAGAACAACAACTTTTAAACCTAATATATTTACCTAAAATACAAAAAGAAAAACAATTCAACTCTCCATTTCACTCTCACTCACTTACGGCCACACGACCTGAACCTTCAAATGACATTGAACCAAAGGGAAAGCAAAACCGCACTTAAATACAACCAACCCAAATCTTCCCCATCTCTCGATCGCTCACCTCTTCAACCCCGGTAGTAGATCTTGAACGAAATAGGTAAATGAACTAGCATCTCTCCCTTCCATTTTGCTATTTTGAAACAAAAAAAAATCTAAAAAGGTTTCACCTTTTGCTCTCTTATTTTCTAGATTTTGTACAGTTTTGTTTCTTTGGTTTTTCGATTAGAAGAATTAGAAATCAAAGAAAATGATACCTTACTTTCGATCTATGCTTGGTTGTTTCTATACATTGCTTTGAAAACGAAAAAATAAAAATAAATAAAGAATATGCTACTGTAAATAAGAATAAAGAAAAAAAAACCTTGAAATAAATATATATGAATGCTAGCAAAAAAGATCCTCCGTTTCTATTGCTTGTCTCCTTTGAATATGGACAATCTGTTTACACCCCTTGTTCTTTTTCTCCCTATATGTGTTTTCTGTTGTTATTTTTTTAGAATGGTCTATGGTTCCTCTCTCGTTTTTGCTCTGTGCTCTCCAGTTCTCCTCGTTCTCTCGGTTAATTTTTTTGTTGTGTGTCAACTCCCCCCCTTTTTCTGCTAAATGCTCCTCTAATATCCCCCACTTTCTTTACAGTTTTTTCCTAATTAATTAAAAAAAAATTGACCCGATAACTACTTTTAGTTTTCTAGGGAGTATTCACGTGGACTTGAGTTGGGCCTTCAATTGCTCAGCTTTGGGTCTGCTCCGATCTAACCTCGGACAAATACGAGTATCTACAATCAAATTTTAAAAGTATTTTAAAACATAATTTTGTTTATTTTAAGTTGACTTAGGGTGCGTTTGGTTCACGGAATGTAAGATTACCAGTGGGAATGTAAGATTACCAGGGAATAGGATTACTGAGAATGTTGTATTTTGTGTTTGGTTGGTTTAGCAGGAATGTAAGATTATCGTGTTTGGTTAAAGGAATAAAAGATTATTGAAATGTATATTTGACCAAATTGTTCTTATTATATATTTGTTTTTTAACAAGTTAGAAAATATTTATATATTTTCTTTAAAAAATTTAAATTCATAAAATTTATATTTTAACCCCTAAACTTCATATAAAATTTTAATTATATATTTTTTTGTAAATATAAAATAGTTTAAGGATAAAATTTATTTTAACCCCTAAACTTCATAAAATTTATATATTTTTAAGGGCATTTTAGTCCAAAACTTCAGTAATCCAACAATACCTAAGGAAATGGAGGAAATGTCATTCCCGGTAATATACCCCGAAAAATCCACTATTGGTAATGTAAGATTACCGAGAATGACATTCCCGGCCAACCAAACGGGGGAATGTGGATTTCATTCCCATGGGAATCTCACATTCCCCCAACCAAACACACCCTTAATGCAAAAATAAGTGACCAAAGTATACCCAAGTTAATTTTAGATGTATAAAGTATTTTTCGTTAAAAATAGGTGCCTAAAGTTTTATATATTACACTTTTAGGTGCCTAACATTTTCGACGTTATATTTTTATGTATTTGGACTATAACGATCATTAAATTCAGACGTCAAGTGACATGTGTCAAACATATAATTATTTTTTTAAAAACACTTAAAATTAAATTTTATTTTTAAAAAAACCTTTATTTTTTGAATTATAAAAAATCTCTAACTTTTTAAAAAAGCCATAATTTCAATCCTTTAGCACCATCAACTGCCACCAACGTCGTCAATTAGGAGAATACCCAATTCTATTTGATCGACCAACCAACCAACGACTAAAACCCCTTATTTTCGTAATGTGTCAAACACCCAATGACCATTTAAAACAAGATTTCATGATCGGCTAAAATGGTTCTCCACACTGCAATAATCGATTGGTCACTGCAATTAGAAGTCGGAGCAAGGTTTCGACCGTTAGATTTTCGAGCAATCATCTGCCGTTAAAATTTTGGTCAATTGGCGAAGGACGACGATGGAAAAGGGATTGGAATTAAGTTTTTAAGGAGTTTCAATTTTTTATAATATCGCGAAAAATGGTTTTTTAAATAATTTTTTAAAAGAGTTTTTAAATAAAATTTTATAAATTTTATAAATTGGCATGTGTCACTTAACGGCTAAATTTATAGTTGTTACAATCCATACACCTACAAATAAAATGTTGGAAATATTAGACACCTAAAAGTGTAATAGAAAAAACGTTAAATACCTATTTTTAACGAAAAATTCTTTATGTACCTAAAGTTAACTTTGAACACTTATTTTTACATTAACCCTTTTAAGTTTATTTCAATAATATATAAATAATATTTTTATTTGTACAACATAAAACATAGAACTATTTTTCAGTTTTACACAAATTAAAGTTGAATGTAAAAATAATTAGAGTTAATTGCATAACATGTATCTAGATTATGGATTTCATTCTAAATTAATCTCTAAAATTTTAAATGTTTGAAATGTATCCCTAAACTATAACTATAATTCCAATTTAGTCGTAAACTTTTGAACATTTTATTTCCATTCTCAAACTATGACCTTTATTTTAAATTGGTCTCTAAATATTTTAAACATTTCACTTTCATCCCAAACTATACATATATACTAATCACATCATTTGTTAATAAAATTCTTAGCCCAATTCATATTATTATATTATTTTAAAATAAAATTTAGATTAAATTTGAATTGAATTATATATTTTGATGACTTTTGGGATGGAATTGAAAGATTTGAAAGCTTGGGGACTAATTTAGAACGAGAGCCATAGTTTAAGGATGAAATTAAAATGTTCTAAAATTAAAAATTAATTTGAAATGAAACTCATAATTTAGAGATGAAATTATAATATTCAAAAGATTAAAGATTAATTTAAAATAAAGATCATAAGATTCAATTAACTCAAATAATTATCTAAACCCACCTCACTCGCTTTCCACCAACACCAATGGTTAGCGTACATATTGGTATTTAATTATTGTTTTGATATTTAAACCCAACAATAATAAATATAATAGAGCAGGTCAAAACCTTTATTTTTACGATAAAAGGTTCTCTAAATCATTAAAAGCAAGAATTATTTGATTTTACTTAAATATTAAGAATTACTCAATTAACAAACACTCATTGCATTATCAAATTAGAATTTGTTTATAAAGGTATACTAAAATTAGTGTTTTTACCTACAAAATTAGTTTAACTGGTAAGTAATTTAATATCGTTTAAGTTTCAAATTTGAGTTATTATGTATGTAAAAAAAATTGTTGGGAGATTCTCTCGTAAAAGTTAAGTGTGAGACGCGGGTCAGTCTAAATTAGTCAGGACAAAATCTTAAAATCGGAAAAATAATAAAAAAATTAGTGGTTTTTTTAATATTAAACTGTATATAAATATTATATATTTACAAATGTCTATGAATACTTTATTTTACATAAATTTTGATATATTCTGTATTTATATCATATTTTTACTATGTTTTTATACTATATTCATATTTTATAATTATGTTGAATCCATATATATATATATATATATAATAGTGCTTTTTTAAAAGAATTTGAAGTTCTTGAATATTTTATATTTCATTGTTATTATTTTAATTAGGTGTTTAATATATATATATATATATATATTTATTACTATCTGATTTTTTTTCCTTCAAGAAAAATATATACAGATTTTTAAGTGAGTTTAATACTACTAAATAAATTTAAATAATAAAAACATGTTTTGCTTTTAAAAATTCATGTATGAATGCCACGTGGATGCGACCACAAGTCACAAATAAATTCCCGAAATAAGTAAGTAATAAAAAAGCAAAAGAATTTAACAGGTACGTTGAGGAAAATAGCAATAATAAGAAAATTAAATGGGAAAAAAAGAGAGAAAGACGAAAATTGGGGGGGGAATGAAGGAGGAGCGAACCATTCATAGAGAGGTTGTCGCGAAGAAGAGACGAATCTGAAATTTGTGTGAGAGGAGAGAGAGAGAGCGCTGAACGACTATGGCGATGCTAGAAAGCATTGTCGTTTTCACCCTCCTTCTCCTTATGTTGATTCTTATCGTTATCCTCATCCTTGTTGCTTTCAAACCATGGCGCTTCTTCTCCTTCGCCGTCTCCCTTTTCTCCTTCTCTTCTCGCTCTCGCACCGTCAAGGTACCGTCGATTCTTTTTCCTCTCTCGATTTGATCTATTTTTTCATTCATTTTAAGACAGAAACTAGTTTCAACCATCGGTTTATGTTTGATTCCATGTTTCTAATCGCGGATAATTGCATTTTGAGCTTAGGTGGAGCTGGATCTCTTTTTTATGTTTTATTTATTATTTTTTACAGTTACGAGCTTTATTTTTATATGTATTTTCTGTTTTGATTTCTAGATGGATTTAATTGCATATCTTTTGTTTGATCCATTTCTCAGCTCTGTATGTGCGATGAATCAATGCGGCTAGTTTATTTAGTAATTTTCTTTTTGCTGCTAATTGTTGATGTTTTGAATAAATAGTAGAGGATTCCATAGTTCCGCTTGCGGTTTGCTGAAATCCGTGGGGATGCAATGCAGATTTTCTTGATTCGTTGAACTGGAGGGATGCATTTAATTGAATTATTTTTGGTATTCTTCTGTGGTGGCTGTAGATTTATGTTGATGCTAGAGGAGTAACTCGTTTTCTAGTTTAGCGGATTGTGGGTGGATTTCAATCATGGATACCAGATATGGCATGTTGTTTAACATTGGGGTGAATAAAACTTGACTCGATTTAAAAAAACTTGACTCGAATCATGTAGGCATTAGTGAGAGAAGCTCCACCTTCTCTCTAAAAATCAGGCGTTTTAAAAAAAAATTCTTTCTTTATCTCTTTTCATATCTCTTAGATGGCGAGTAAGGTGAGAAAATCTGTTGGGAAAAATTGCGTCACAGTGATCATTTTCAATATTCCAGAGTGTCTTCATCATCATGGTCTTTGGTTATTATTCGATAAATATGGTGAGGTGGTTGATTCTTTCATCCCTAAAAAAGAAGCAAGGGAGGAAGTAGGTTTGGCTTTGTTCGCTTCACCAGATTGGAGGTCGCGAGGAAGGCTATCAACTGTGCTGATAGATCTAGGATTCAAGGTTTTAAAGTTTTCATGGCGAGATTTCAACCTCGTGAAGAATTCTGGAGAAAGAAGTTTTCTGGTCCAAAACCAGCCGAGGTCAAGAGTAAAGTGAAGGTTGATACTCATTCAGAGGCTCTCATTGTCGGTGTTGTTGACGAGGATAAACTCTTAACTCTCAGAAATAGCTTGGTAGGTTAGTGCAGAAAATTTTTAAAAATGAAAGAGTTGTCTGCTCTTATGTACAAGGAAGGCGTATTAGGTCCGAAAATTATGAGGTTAAGGCTTTAGCAATTTTAATCATTTTTGAAGATGAAGAGAGTAGGGATTATGCTCTTAATAATTAGATTGGGGTGTTGATAAACTGCTTTGACAAAGTGGAAGTGTGGTGGGAAAATTTTCAGTGCAGCAGCCGTCGGGCATAGCTATCGTGCAAAGGAATCCCACCGTTTGTGTGGAGTCATTCCATCTTCAGAAACATTACAGACAAATGGGGAGAACTTATCTCCATTGAGGAAGGGACCTTAAATCCCGGTTCGTTTGATAGGGCATTGTTTTAGATAACTACGAACTACTAAGCTCGAGTGGAAGACTACTTAGATTTGAAAGTCGGGGATCGAATCTATACAGTATATGTTTTTGAGTTTGAACCTTGTTTCAGCCCAAAATCTGTCTGGGTAGATTCGTCCTCGATGGAAAAGGCAGTTGCCTACCCGTTTTCCACGGTGGGGGAACTCGTTGGTGATTCGTCAGTAAAGCCTTCCGAGATGGAGGAATGTGCTGAGGAAGCAGGAAGAAGTGTGGACTCATCGGAGGAGAAGAATTTCGAGCGGTGTTCTGAGGAAGAAGACAATCTATTATGTTGTATGGGGAACAAAACTAGAGGCAGCAACTTGTCGGGTGAGGATGAGGAGGAAAGGAACATAGGGGAGGAATTAATTACGGGATTGAGGAATATTGTTGCTGGTCAAGGGATGGTACAAACGAAAATTGAGGAAATAGTGGAACATGAGGAAGTGCTGGATCACGCGGAGAGAGAGGCAGAAAATGACAAGGAAAAGTTGTGAGACTGCACGTTCTTATGAGGGAATGAAGGATTATTTAATAGATTTCCTCATGATGGATGTTCGGGTAGAGTCAAAGGTGGTGGAGGAGGATGTGATTAATGTGGGCCTTACAAATAATTGTGCATTCAAAAGTTCAAAGGGTGAGGCCAGGCAGAACCGGAGAGTAAAGGAGGGGAAAAACAATAATTACAGCTCTCTCCAAATAGTTCAAGGAAAATATTCGGCTCCCCAATGGACGTCTAGAGACTGCCGCAACAAGATTAATCAGAGTAAGGTGCAACGCGAGGAAGAATTGTCTGAACTTGAAGGTATAATCCTATATGATTCTGACTTTCGAGCAAGGTGGTAGAGACAAAAGAAGGAAGTGAAAGAATCCTTACAGATCGGGAAAGATTTGGGTATAGTGTCTAAAGGCTCACAAGTGTTTTTGATTTCGGAACATTATAGTAGTAGAAGTATTGAAAGATACAATATGTAGTGAATAGTTTTCGGGGACTCAAATATGATTTTTGATTTTGGAGTTGGAGGTTCGGATGGTCACCGATGTCAAGTCGAGTAATCAGTGGCAGAATGGCGGATAGAGTTTTTTCGAAGTTTGTTTTGTTCAACTCTTATCGTGTGGAAGCTCATGGCTTTAGTGTTCAAATTTGGCTTCTATGGTTTGTGTCAACTGATATATTTGGCTTCTATTGTAGTTGTATTGTGTTGTGCTGTATTTCAGGCCAAGTTCTGGTTAGTCATATTGGAGTTGTTGTTGTAGCTGAGATGATTAGGCAGTTAGTGTTGTTGTGGAGAGTTGTATTCGGTTGTTTTTTTGGTTTTTTTGTCTATGTTGGGGGTGGCTCTCTGTTTGTATCTTATGTAATTTCTTATGTTTACTGAAATCTTAGGCACTCTTTTCCTCCTTTCTCTGATTAAGGAGATTCTCTACAAGCTCCTTTAATCAAGAAGGGGTTTTTTAACGAGGACTTCAATTCCTATAAAAAAAAACTTGACTCGAATTGATTTCGAGTTGTAATTTCATAAAATCAACTCCACTCGAAAAATTTTAAGTTTTAATCGAGTTGTAAAATACAATTCGAATAACTCGAAATTTTTAGTAATTAGTGGATGAATTTTCAAGTTTGAGTCGAGTCCCTCAATTCTGTACATACATGTATTTCACATATGAAAGAAATATATATGTATTGTATTTTTTTTATCAAAAATCACACAGGAATAGATTGTTATATATGTATTGTATATGATCATAAAAAATCATTTAAATTGAAATCAATAATATTATAATATATAAATATTTATAATTAAATTTAAACACTAACTCGAAAATTCAACTCGACTCGAAAAAATTTCAAGTCAACTCTGAGCTGTAAAATAGGACTTGTCAACTCAAATAACTCAAAATTTTTTTACTCGACTCGATCGACCGCTCACCTTTAGTTTAGCAGATTTAATATGGTAGGAAATCTGCTCGGAGATTATTGGCATCTATTCTGAGTCAGTCAACTATGATGAATCACTTAACGCAAATCCACTAAGAATAGATGGCAAGATGTTGCCTCCTAGAGATACTTTGTGAATCCGCCGGTTTTAGAAATATATGTATCCATTCTTGTAGTGTAGCGTCTTCATCAAGAACTTGGTTGATTTCTTTCCTTAGATGGAAAGATATGGAGAGAAAAAGAAAGAGGATAACTTGGCTATCATTTTGAAGCTAATAACTAATTTTTGGAGTCTCTTGGTAAGTGACAAATTTGGAAGCCTATGAAACCAACATATAGATTGATCTTCCCAGTTTATAATAGATTTGTTCCAAATGTCGAAAACAATCCTAATATCATATTATTATCTCATTTTCCTATAATTTTTTCCTATTGTATGGTATCTCCAACGAACTATATTTGAACATTGAAATTGAAATTTACTCTTAGATGATTACTCTCGGTTTCTCTTCCTTTATCTTTTCTTCTCTAAATCCGTATGGAAGCAAGAGTTGGGATCTTTCTTTTAAACCCTTCATGTGTTATCTAAACGCTAAACTTTGTCATAGCATTTTTGCCTTTATATTTATATTCTTTCCATTTAATAAAGGGGAAAAACTGTTGAAGCTTTCTTTCTGTTTGAATCTATTGTGATCTTCTTTCATTTGACAGTTTACGTGGATTTGTAGGTTGATGATGTTGAGAGGCCTCTAGTATCAGATGATGCCAATCTCACTCGAGATCAAAGCAATGATTTGACGAGAAATTATGATTTAGAGGGAGCATGTTACCAAAACGAAGCTCTTCTGCGCCCACCTCGTAGTGAGGGACTTGTTCACAAACAACGGATTCCCTCAGGATCTCCCCATTTGGCTCAGGGTATTAACTTTTTCTTCTATCTTTCACTGTTTTTCTTGTATAATTATGCTTCAAATGTTTTAATTTGTACAGGTGATAGCCTGGTTCTAGATGTAATATCTGATCCTCCAGAGGATATTTTGGTTGGGCAGACGCTAAAGCGCCCACCGGCCACAGAGCACCCAGTTGAAGTGGTAAAACTTGGTAGACCTGAAAATCAAAGTGAAAACAGTATTCAAGAGTTTGTGCCCCAGGCTACCAGTGATCAACGTAATTTCTGTTTTCTCTCACTTCTATAAAGAAAATAATGCATTGTTTTCTTTCAATAGATTGAATGTTGTTAAAAGTAGAGTAATTATCTGTCAAACTCATATGTATTATGTAAGATTGGTTACATATTTATATACAAGCTATAACCTTAACTTAGAAAACTCTGTCAAACTCATATGTATTTTGTAAGATTTGTTACATATTTATATACAAGCTATAACCTTAACTTAGAAACTCTTAAGTTAGGAAAGTAACTAATTCTAGGGAAAGATACAATCCCTTAAAGTTAGGGATTATAACTACTAAAAGATATTCACAAAATCCTATCATAATATTTCTAATTTAGGAATCTATTTTCTGACACTCTCCATCAAGTTAGGGAATGGATGTCTTCCATCTTCAGCTTGCTTGCTAACTTCTGAAAATACTTTCCAGGTAGTCCCTTGATAAGTATAACTGCAACTTGATCTTCAGTGGACACATTGGGAGTAAAAATTAGTCCATTGTCAAGTTTTTCCTTTATGAAATGTTTATCCACTTCAACATGTTTTGTCCTGTCATGTTGAACTGGATTATGAGCAATATTGATTGCTGATTTATTATCACAGTATAATTTCATTGGGCCTTCCCATTTGATCTTTAAATGCTCCAAAATAATCTTTAGCCACAATAATTCACAAATCCCAAGTGTCATTGCTCTAAACTCAACTTCTACGATGGATGTACCCACAACATTCTGCATTTTACTTCTCCATATCTTTAGATTTCCTCCCAAAAAGGTGTAGTATCTTGAAGTTGATCTTCTATCAACCATTGACCCTGCATCAGTATAGCTTCCAAAGTCAAATTTTCTACCTTTATAAATATAATTCCTCTGCCTGGTGTGCCCTTCAAATACTATAGAATTTGAGTTACAACCCTTAGGTGTGATTCTTTAGGTTGTGCATGAATTGGCTTACAACTCCAACTACACACTGCCTGCCCAACACTTGGACCAAATCCAGGTGGGATGTCCATGTAAACCTTCCTCCTCAAGATCCACATGCAAAAAAAAAAAAAAATCTTAATGGCATACTTCTGTAATTTCCATCCTTGATTGGTAGCTAATGACAATAAAATTCTCAGTGTTCACCTTTGCAACAGGAGCAAATGTCTCAAGGTAGTCTATCCCATAGGTTTGAGAGTACCCCTTAGCCACTAACCTTGCTTTGTACCTCTCTAAAAAACCGTCTAACTTGTACTTTACTGAAAATACCCATATGCACCCCATTGTTTTCTTCCCTTCTGGTAGTTTCACGAAGTCTCATGTCTTCTTCTCAAGTGCTTCCATCTCAACTTCATGGCATTCTTCCAATTCTCATTTTCTAATACCTCAGACACAGTTCTAGGAATGACTATGGTGTTTAAGCTAGTAAGGAAGGCCTTGTGTTTTTTAGATAAGTTCATGTAGGACATAAATAGGTAAAAAGGGTTTTTTGTTTTGCAAGTTCTTTTTACTTTTCTAATTGTACTAGGAAAATCAAAATCCCTGTGATCATAAACAAAATCAGATTTTTCAGTGGGTATTTGATCAGAGATTGATTCAGTAGTTATCTTGGTTTGTATAGGAGGGGAAAAGAATGATTGAACCTGCACTGGTGCCTTCTTCCTTGAGTAGATTAACAGAGGACAATTAGTGTCCTGAGTCTTTGGCTAAGGGGTGTTAAGATCATGATTGTAAGGTGGTAGGTTGGTCAAAACTAGGTTGTTGTATAGGAATAGGCTGCTGAGCTGGTGGTACAATCATCTATGAATGAGAGAAACCATCAGACCCCAGGTTATATTTGGAATAGTGGATGACCCTCAAACATCACTGTGAATGAGAGTAAAAAGGTTGGAGGCTTTTTTATTACTCACTGGAAAAGAAGTGCGTTTATGTTTTGCAAGTTCACATATGTCACAATAAAATTCTTCAATAGTTAAGGATTTGAACAAAGAAAAAAACATAAGCTTTATAACTTTAAAGAATGGGTGACCAAGGCAGAGGTGATGAAGCCATAGTTGGTCTTTATTGGTTTTAGATTCTGATAAAAGTGAAAAAGGTTTGGAATTCAGGGCACTGACTTGTCCACCGGGGTCTTCAAGGTAATATAGGCCATTTATTTCTTTAGCACGTCCAATCACCCTCTTCGTTCCTTGTTCCTGAAAAATGCATTGAGTAAGATGAAAAAGAACTCTGCAGTTAGTGTCCTTGGTAATTTTATGGATGGATAGAAGATTAGTAAATAATTTTGGTACATGAAGGACATTTTTAAGTGTAAGGGTTTTACTTATAACAATATCCCCTTGACCAACCATTGTTATCATAGAACCATATGCAATTGTTATTTTTTTTGTTGCTAGGACAGGAAGTATAAGTGATAAATCTGAGTAAAGAATTAGTCAACTTTGAGGGAGGTTGTTATTGAGACCTCCTATTCCTATAAAAAAAAAAAGTAAAGAATTAGTCATGTGGTTTTTAGCCCCTAAGTCAATTACCCAAAAGCTTTGGTAAGTAAATCCGACGCTTTAGAGTCTTGAGAAGAGGATATAACTGAGAAAACTAAACTACATGTACCTGTAGAGGAGGATTTTTCTAGAGACCCCAACAAGTTCTTCAGTTTCTCTATTTCTTCTTTGTTGAACTCAACAGGCGGTTCTTAAGAGTTCTTAACCATCTGTTTGGTTGTATATGCTCTTCCTTGTCCCCTTGATGATCCCTCTCTCTGAAATTTTTTTACTTGCTGTTAGTGGGTTCCCATGAAGTCTCAAGCACTTCTCTTTTGTGTGGCGAGGTTTCTTGAAGTAGGTGCACCATAGAGAGTCCTTGTTCACTATTTTTTATGCTTCTGGTTTATTATCTTTAGTAATTTGCTGTTCCTGACCAGTTCTTCTCTCGGTTACAGCTCTAGTGACCAAGGTTGAACTCTCCACTTGACTGCTTTCAATCAAAACTCCTCTTCTTCCTTCCTTAGCATGAATGATTGCAATAACTTCATTCAGTGAGGGCAGATCATCTTTTCCAAGAATTTGGACTCTCACTGCATCGAATTCAATAATTAGTCCAGCAAGAAAATCATAAATTCTATCTTTTTCAACAAACCTCTTTAGGACTATTGCATCTTCACTACACCTCATTTGGATACACTGATAGTGATCCATCTCCTGCCAAAATTATGTAGTAAGTTAGAGTATTCTGTGATTGACCTGCTTCCCTGCTTGGTGGATGAAATCTTGCTCTTGATTTCATAGATATGGGCAACATCTCTAACCTTTGAGTAAGTTTGTTTTACAGCCTCCCATATCTCTTAGGCTGTATTGAGAAACATGCATGTATCACTGATCTCTGGTACCATGGAATTCTATAACCAGGACATTACTAATGAATCTTGTTCATCCCAAGAATCAAATCTAGGATCTTCCTCCTTAGGTCCGGTTCCAAGAAGATGACTTAACTTTCCCCTACCCTTTAGAAATGTACGAGTTAGCTGAGACCATTTAAGGTAGTTTTTTCCATTCAACCTATAAGCAACTTGTATATTTTGCAAATCACCTATTGGGTAAGAATAACTCCATTCATTCATTTTGACTCCCTGAACAGTCTCAGAACTACTGGTATCGACCACATCAACCATGTTTTTGTTGGGTTAACAGTACACACTTAAGGGAAGGATTTAGGAATAACAAAAAGGTTACTAAACCGAGATTAACAAGACACAAAAATGAGCTAAAAAAGCTTTGATATTATGTTAAAAGTAGAGTAATTCTCTGTCAAACCCATATGTATTCTGTAAGATTTGTTACATATTTATATACAAGCTGTAACCTTAACTTAGGAAACTCTTAAGCTAGGAAAGTAACTTATTCTAGGGAAAGATACAATCCCTTAAAAATTAGGAATTGTAACTACTAAAAGATATTCACAGAATCCTATCATAATATTTCTAATTTAGGAATCTATTTTCTGACAAATGTGTAAAGCATGTAATTATATCTTTCTGTTAGAAGTGCAGGAAGTTGCCTCTCTCTTGAGGTTGTCTCTGGTCCTTCTCGTGGAACTCGTTGTTCTGTGCAGTCAAACACTTCAAGGCTGCCTTTGACTCTAGGGAGAGTTTCTCCAAGTGATTTATTATTGAAGGATGGAGAAGTTTCTGGAAAGCATGCAATGATAACTTGGAATTCAAATGTATACTTCTAAAAGATTGTATGACATTAGTTTGCATTGGTTGCATGCTATATGTGGTGTATTAATTGTTCCGATTTTTATGAACTCCTGCAGAAACTTAAATGGGAGCTGGTAGACATGGGTAGCCTCAACGGAACACTATTGAATTCTCGACCAATTAATCATCCTGATTCTGGAAGTAGGCAATGGGGCCACCCAATGGAACTTTCAAGTGGAGACACAATAACACTTGGAACAACATCAAAAATACATGCAAGTCGATATGCTTTTTTTATTCTGGCATTTTTATTTTTGCTTCTGAAATTTCAAAACTTACTAGATATAATTTATCATTTTCATAAGTACTGAAAACAAGAGTTGTTCATTATTCACATGATATCTCCAGGATTATTTTCATTCGTTTTCTTATTTTAGCAATTCCATAAGATCATCATAGTCGGAGACCATGAGTATAGAACTGACATCTTACTTGTCTTTGTATATTTTGACTGTCAGAATCATCCTTTTGATACAAAATACCCTATAAGCACTTGTCATATAGCACAAGCCACGTCCACTTCTGACATTCTAGAAGTACATAATTTTTGTACCTTTTTATTTTTCCATTATCATTTTTTATTCTCAGGCAATTCTCATTAACTTCTGTTCGTAACTATCTTTCAAGGGTGCTTAGGTAAATTGAAGAACTGAACTTTTAAGAAAACAGTTGATAGTCTGTCTTCATAAGATAAAATCCCATATGGTTAGGATTGTAGACACAATTGTTTGCATGGCAGCTACTTTAGTTATGAACAGTTGGGTAAAGTGAAGAACTGAACATTAATGTCGCACTTTCAGTTAACAGCTGATAAACTGTCTCCATAAGATAAAATCTATATGGTTAGGATTGTAGACTCGTTTGTTTGTGCGGCAGCTGCTTTAGTTTTCTGATAGACTATTGTGGTTAAGTGTTTTCTCTTATGTACTCATTGCAGATAATACAATGTTCATATCAATTTGTAATGCATGAAATATTTGATTTGGTGGAGCTGATTTTATTGATTGCATGTTGTCTTCTATGACAGGTTCATATTTCATTCCAAAATGAGTGTCTGATTCCTTTTGAAGTTGGTATGATTTCGGACCCTATGTCGTTACGCCGAGGAGGAAGGAAGCTTCCCATGGAAGATGTTTGCTATTATCAATGGCCACTTCCTGGCATTGATCAGGTTTTTAAGTTATTAAGTTTTTAGTTGGTTTTTTTCCTTCTATCAAAAGCGATGAATCTTATAATTGTACTGACATTGCAGTTCGGGGTGTTTGGTATCTGCGATGGGCATGGTGGTGTTGAGGCTGCCCAATCTGCGAGCAAGTTAGTATTCCTATTATGTCTTTTAGTGTGCTTCCTAGACGGGGTTTCTAGTTGAATCGTAGATGTCTCGTATTTTGATTAATTATAAGATACACTTTTTATTTCCCATAGATTAATTGTTTTCTAGAGTGTATCATAGTCTTCAAAGCTTGTCACAAAGTATTTTGCATCTTTTCCCTTTCTTTCTGTTTCTGGTGTGTTTGTTTAAATTCAGTCAGTATGATTTCCATGAGCTTTTGATATGATAACTGCTGACTTAGGCTTTGCTTGATAGATTTTATAACCACCTTCCTACTTTCTAGCTTAACCATTTGGTTACCAAAATTTCATATTTACCCCTTTCTATCCTTCTCAACTATCAAAACCTAATTATTGGCTTGATTTATTCATTTAATATTGTCTTATGATATTTTTATCGATACCTTTGACTGGTATGACACATCGGTCTCTTGTTAGTATTAGAAGATATCAGATCAGGCAAACTCCACTCATTGAACCACAACACTTTTCACTGGTTTCCTTGGATACTTTTGGGTTAAAGTTAGATATATCTTGAGAGATTATGAAACATTTAGGTGTTTAGGTGCTACTTTTTTCCCCCCTTAAAACACCTCCTAGCTATATGATAGATAACTAATGTTTTTAGAATTTAGTTCTGCTGTGTGGCGACCTAACCCAAGGCCAATTTGCTCCTAGTTTTATCCTAAAATGTTACCATTTCCAACCTAAAATGTTACATTGCGGCAGGGTTTAACCTAAAAATATTATTTGTCCATTCTAAAAAGTTACACAATTGATAATAATTTTGGTTACAACCGAGAATGTCTTGATGGTAATTTTTTAGGTTGCAACCGAAATAGTTATGCAATTTTCACGAATTGTATGGAAGACGTAATATTTTCGGATTCTACCTAAAATGTTACCTAATTTACTCTAAAAAGTTACGCATTCGTTAAGTTTTTCGGTTACAACCTATTTTTGCTTTTTTTAGCCTTATATGAACCGTTTGTATTTTTTTTTTTTTTTTGATAAGAATTTCAGGCCTCATTAAAAACCCCCTTCTTGATTAATGGAGCTTGTAGGGAAGCTCCTTAATCAGCGGAAGGAGGAAAAGAGTGCCTTAGGATTTTATTGAAGCAGAAAATTACATAAAATCCACACAAAATACAACCAAGAAAACACCCCAACAGAACCAAATAAACTGAAAACACCCATAAAACATCCAAACTAAAAACACAGAAACAGCGAAAACAACATTAGTAACCCCCTAACAAAACACAGAAAAAGAAGAGACAGCTCTAAACAACCATCAACAACTTAACTAACGCAGCCTATGCCTTCTTTAGCTAAGGCATCAGCCTCTAAATTGGATGTCCTATTAACCCATCTAACAACACCTTCAAAGGCCTTAAGCCTATGAACAATATCTTTAATCAAGAAAGCATATACAACAGGACATAATTCCACCCCTTTATCCAATCCACAGCGACCTTACTATCACTCTCTATAATCAGACGGTCCTTGATCCTCTCTCGATGGGATGCAAAGAAAGACAACCCCATAAGAATAGCCTTTAACTCCATCAACGTAGGAGGTCCCGGACCAGCAGTTTCCTTGAAATAGGCTATAGTAGAACCTGATGAATCTTTTAAAACACCTCCTAGTCCGCTTTTCTTCCAATCCCATGTAGTGGCAGCATCAACATTTAATTTAACAAAACCTAACGTTTGTATTTTGGACTCATCCATAATTTGCTTAGAGCCTAACTTTGAGCACTCTTCATAATTTTTTTCTTTCTTCCATACCTTTACTTCCATGATAGCTTAGACTTCTTAATAGCCGGCAGTTAAAGCTAGAGTTGAAGGCTGCTGAGTCTAAAATCAAGAGTTATGATGCCGAGATATCATCATTAAAGGTTGAAACTAGGGAGTTAGTCGAGAAGCTAGAAAATGCTTACACCAAGGCCCAGTCCTTCGAGGGAAAAGCAAGGATTATGGAACAGGAGAAGATCTATTTGGAGCAAAAGTATTCTTCCGAGTTTGAGAGGTTTGCAGAAGTTGAAGAAAGGTATAGAGTAGCCGAGAAAGAAGCAAGGAAAGCAACAGAGTTAGCTGATAAAGCTCGAGCAGAATCAGTGGCTGCTCAAAAGGAGAAAAGCGAGATACAGAGGGTAGCAATGGAAAGATTATCTCAAATTGAGAGGGCTGAGAGGCAAATTGAGAACTTGGAGAGAGAGAAAACAGACTTGGAGAATGAACTCCACAGAATTCGTGTCTCAGAGATGGATGCTGTTTCTAAAGTTGCATTACTAGAGGCAAGATTCGAAGAGAGGGAGAAAGAGATAGAGTCATTGTTAAAAACAAACAATGAGCAGAGGGCTAGTACAGTCAAAGTACTTCAAGATTCTTGACTCTGAACGTGCAGCACATGCAGATGCAAATAACAGGGCCGAGGCCCTTTCTCTTCAGCTACAGGCTGCGCAGGCAAAACTTGATTCATTGCAGCAAGAGTTGACTTCGGTTCGTTTAAATGAAACTGCATTGGATAGTAAGCTAAAAGCTACGTCCCACGGAAAGCGATTCAGGACAGATGATGAAGCTGGGGTGGGATCTGTTCAAGATGTGGACATGAGTGACAGAATTTTGAGAGCAAATAAGAAGTCCAAGAGCACAACCAGCCCCCTGAGACATTCACATTTAGAAGACGGTGGGTCGGTATTCAAAGGTGATGATGTTGACGACAACCAGAATCAACAGGACGACTATACAAAGTTCACCGTGCAAAAACTCAAGCAAGAACTCACGAAACATAATTTTGGCGCCGAGCTGCTTGCATTAAGGAATCCGAATAAGAAAGATATCCTCACCCTGTACGAGAAATGCGTATTACAGAAATCTTGAATGTTCGTTTTCGGTTCATATTATGACTTTGTATATGAAGGGGCGTGCAATCTACTTGATCTGATAGGAGTTGGAGTTGATGAGCTTTTAGTAGAGGTGAAAGTTTTACTTTATAAATTTGATTTGAACTTTCAGGATAAGGTTTGTGTTTCCATATACAGGCATGGGTATTTGATTGTGGTGGCGCAAGGTGTGACTTTTGCACTTGATCTTTGTATCTCGACTCTTAAACCTACTTCATTGAAGGAATATTATATATGCTTGATTGTACTACTCACCTCAACTTGTTTCCCAATGGTAAGGGAAATCTCATAAATAAAGACCATCAAATGCGTGATGTTAAATCAAAAAAAAATTATCTTAACACATATGCCTGAAATATTGTATTTTATTTTATTTTTTTATTAAACAATTGGCAATCAAATGTTTATATGGTCATGGATCAATAGTGCTTGTGGTGCTAGAGTATTTAATGAATAGTGGAATTTTGGAATATTACTAGGGAGAAATTTTCAATCTACTTGCTGCGGAAAGTGGTTAGAAATACATAGTAAAAAGGCGAGGAATTTTTTAATACCGTAGTGAGCTCAAGTGTCTACTTGCTATCCACTTGATCATGGGTTCAAATTCTGGAAACAGTTTGTGTATATAGTGAAAGGCTGTGTACATCAAGACCTTCCTCAAACCCTGTTTATAGTGGGAGCTTTGTACCGGGTATGACCTCTAAGGGAAACGAGAGAAGTTTCATGTTTATTTATGTCCTTTTTTTTCTTTATCTTTCTCACCACTTTGTGCATGAATTCAAGAGACAAACAGATGGAGGATTTGGATATGATCATATTAGTAGATTATGTTTTTTTTTCTCTTTGGCTATACATATCCTCTCTGTATCGTTCCAATCTTATTATCTTCTTCGGCTATAAACACACGCGCGCACGTGCACCCCACATATATATTAAATGAGGAAAATTGTTCTTCAGACTAGAAATTATTGATTGGGGACCTGAATTGCATTATTCTTGCAACATGAAGCTTTCAGTTCAAGATTTAAGGCTTCTGATTTGACAAAAAAACAAAAATTAGCTGTTCTGCTCATTTTAGCTGATATGCAGATTTTGAATTAACTATTTCACTAAAGTTTCAAGGACTTGATGTCCAGGATTCTGCCTGAGATGCTTGCTACCATTTTATCAGATTCTGTAAAAAGAGAGAGGGTTTGTCACAACATGATGCCTCTGATGTTCTTAAAGATGTATTTTCTCGAACAGAAGACAGCATGAATAACTATTATGAGGTTTTCCTCATCTGCCTTTCCTTATTTTCTTTTGTTCCATCTGTCTACATTTTATTGCTGTTTAGTTTGTAATTCTGTCAAGAGCGTGCTGTACAGCTCCTCCCCCCCCCCCCCCCAAACCCCACAAACACCCCCCTCCCCCCCACACACACAAAGTTGGAATCTGTCTGCACTGTATTTCTGCTGCTATCATTTGTAGATTTGCTATCACTCTTGTTGAATCATATCCCCACCCCCTCCCAACACACAGTTGGCATCTGTCTGCACTGTATTTCTGCTGTTATCATTTGTAGATTTGCTATCACTCTTGTTGAATCATATCTTTTCAGGTTATTACACTTGTTTCCATCAACTTTGCATGTCCTTCTGTATTTTATGATAACTTAATGGGGGGTTGTCAAGCATTGGATATCTTCTGCCTACGTTGAAGTTTATGGTGTGCATATCTTAATAATTAATTCCTTGCAGGGCTGTACTGCAACAGTTCTTCTAGTTTGGGCTGGTGATGATGAAAAGTTCTATGCACAATGTGCAAATGTTGGGGATTCAGCTTGTCTTATTTAGTACGTGTTTCATTCTTATTGTTTCAAGTTGTTGGATATCTAGGGTTATTAGGGTATTTTACAATCAGAGTCTATTTCTTGGAGTCTTGAAAAGATATCACTTCGATCATGCCCCATTCATATCATATTTAAGAAATTTTCTGTTAATCTTGGTAATGTGGTGATCTGTAAGTTAGAATATAGGATAACCTGCCATCAACGGTTCATGAAGGAATCTATTGGCATCTGTCAGAAGCTTTTTTTCTTTGAAAAAGCATCTGTCAGAAGCTACTTATGCTAATTGGCGTACTTCAAGTCTTTAATTCATCTAACTATTGGCTGATATTGTATACTTGTGATAATCACCTTTGTTACTCGTACTTGGGTGTGAATCTCGAATACTGGTATTTATCTGGCTAGAGTGTTCAATTTTGCAAAGGTTTTTCATATATTTAGAGGGTCTTAGGTGGTCATATCTTTATAATCGTATCCAGGTATACATCAAACATATGCTTTGGACACGAGCACTTCAAGAAACATGAAGGGTCCGAGCAAAAATAGATAATTGACCCCTTTAGTGTCAATGCAATGTGTTTTGCCTGTTGTATTGGCATCTGGTCATATTTCTGTCTTATTTTCTGCAGAATTTTCTCACCATTTTCTGTTCTAGTTATTTGATATTAAAATTTTCATCATAATTTCCTATCAAAAAAAAAATTTCATCATAATGCTGCTTTTATTGCTGTACTTACTACCAAATTCAATTTTAATGGGACAGTCTCGGAGGTAAGCAACTTAAGATGACAGAAGACCATAAATTAACTAGTTATTCTGAAAGACTCCGCATCGAAGGAACAGGGGAACCCTTAAAAGATGGGGAAACACGTCTATGTGGTATGTGTAAATTTCTGCATATAGTCATTACATACTGGAGACGGGACTTGGTGACATCGCCAAAAGAAGGTAGATATCGAGTAATGGCCCACTTGTTTCAGGTTTGAACCTTGCTAGGATGCTCGGAGACAAGTTTTTGAAGCAGCAAGATTCACGTTTTAGTTCCGAGCCTATATAAGTCAACCTGTGCATATCAATCAAATAAGTGGGGCGTTTGCACTACTAGCAAGGTGATTCTATCAAAATCCTTCCTTGATTATAATTTTGCATGTGAAAACATATTGCATCGACTGTTCTCGGTCGATTGTGATGAAAACAATCTATTTTATATAGTTTTCTCTGCTCCGCTCATATTTGCTTGCTCGTATTCTTTAAATATTCAGCAAATTTTTGTTGTAATATGGATCCACTTATATGTGCCCATTGCAGTGATGGATTCTGGGATGTTGTTAGTGTTAAGAAGGCAGTCCAGTTAGTTGCGCAGGTATTTTATTACAGGCTTATGTCACAAATAAGTCTTAAAAGTATTTCATTTTTTATTTAGGTACCTAAAATAATCTTTGGTTAAAATAGATACATGAAGCGTACTATCTTTTTCATCGAAGTACCTAAAGTATTATTTAATGAATACTACATGTCAACATTTTAAAACTTAGGTGTAAAAGATTGAACTCTTTAGGTACCTATTTTGACTAAAAGGACAACTTTTTTATAAAAAAAATATTAAAGCTTCTGGCTGTTTTCTTTTTCTCTTCCGAACAAATGACGAATCTTGGGTGTGTGGTGGTCAGATGAGGGAGGAGCCGGAGAAGGAGAATTTGGCAGAGAAGGTTGCAAATGTTTTGTTGAATGAAGCTAAAACACAGCGAACAAAGGATAACACCTCAGTTATTTTCTTAGATTTTGACAGCATATCGAGAAGAGTATCTTGTAAAGTCGATGATTCTTAATATGAATTCTTTTTAAAGGTTTCTATTTAGAGTGGAAAAACTATATATTAATTATTTCAAATGCTAATTTCATTTCTGGCTTCGACTCAAGTTTTCACTTTTTACCCCCTCCTATTGTTGAAGGGACCCAAGTCTTCAAGCATAGTTAAAAAATAAAATCAACCAGGAACCATTTACTAAAGGTTGATATTTAACATGAATAAAAGAAACACATAATACTTCATTAATTTAGAATGTCCAAATAAGTCATTTGAGTTTAGTCGAGTGATTGATTTCTAGTGTATTTTGCCCATCAAAAAAATTGTCCAAATCAAGGTGTGCTAGTGCTAGGGTTTTAAAAAATTATTTCAAGGAAAACATAATTAAAGCTCTAGGCATGATTTAACTTATTTCTAAAAATTTCTTACATTCAATTTATCAAACTAATTCACCTATAACCTAAATTTTGATTCTAATATAACTTTAAAAAGCTTTAATTCAATCTAGATTTTGTCTATCCTCACACTTTTACAAGACCATAATATCATGCTATTGAGTAATAAAAATGTATGATCTCATAAATTAATTGGCAAATTGTAGAATCTCATACACCATATAATTATTTCACGTCTTCGAAAACATTCACCCTACTTATTGAGGTTATATTGTCATTACACCTATGAGTGTTACATAGTTCTTTCATCGTTACAGTTTCACACGCTTGTTTCGGTAAGTTAGGAGTTCATTGCATGCAAGATAGTTTAACCTTTTTCAGATGGAGAACGTGCGCCTGGTTTTGTCAAACGACTCCTACGGATCATCCTGGCGAAAGGTCACTTTTAGGCGGCAACGAACTTGGGCTTTCCTTGAGTTGAACTGTGTGGCTCGCCTAGCCTTTCCTTCACATCCTCCCCCTTTCGCACGAACGGGGCACTCTAAGAATCCTTTCGCCGAAAAGCGGTTTCCCGCGTGAAAATACTATAAAATCGATTCCGGGTTTACAGGCTGAGCGTTTTCTGGGATTTGGATAATCAAATTTTACTTGATTTATAATATGAATACAATAAATGACCATTTCAAACATTTGAAGTATTCTACTTTTGGTCAAGATGTTAGCAAGGTATTTTAGAAGGCTTTGACGCCCTTCAAAAAATATATTGGCTAAACTAGTTAGAAGTTAGTCGCCGGGAGATCCAAATTTTTGATTAATTGGTGAATTCAATGTTGCAATATTTTTTTTTTGGATAATTAAGATTTTTATTATCCAAAGGAGGCAGAAACCTACTACAAAAAATCAGTTCAGACAGTGGAAAAAAATAACAAAAATAACAAGGGTATCCTATATACAACCAAAATTAAACTATACCCCAATGATTACAAATATCCAAATTAGTGCTATCTAATCTATTGATAATTCTATTGCTTAAATGAGACCCTATAATCTGCTTAATTTCGAGAATAATAGCGTCCTCGGATTTGCAACTACCTCTGAAAAGCCTTCGATTTCTTTCCTCCCATATAGAGTAGTTGAATGAGCACCAAGAGAGTTTGAGGATGACAGTGATGAGAGATTTACCTTTCCATGTTGTTGTGGCCCAGATCAGTAAATTAGACCAAGTGAAAGGAGGTTTTTGGATACCTGAAAGAAGAAGAACATAATTCCAGATTGAAGAAGACAGTTTGCATTCAGTAAGCAGATGGTTTCTGGTTTCGCATCCATCAGAGGAGAGGATGCACTGATCGGTGGTGACTAGCCCAAACCTTAACTATCTTTCTTTGGTGGGGAGGCGATCCTGGATTAGCATCCAAGAGATAATGATGTGTTTAGGAATGTGAAGAGGGAACCATATGAGCTTTTGCCAGTGGACTTTGCTATGTTTAAGTCGAACCTGCTCCCAAATTTCTTTTGTACTGGTAACTCCTGAAGAAAGCAGTGGGCACGCAACACTTCGAAACTTCAAAATTTTCTAAAACTCCAGCTGATAGTAGAAAAATCATCCATGAACCAGAAGTTATGATGCTTGATAATATAACAATGTATCTAAGCAACCCATAAAGAGCCATCCTGGGCAAGAATGTTTTTGATAAAGTGGATCATATAAACTCTATTCCAGGATTTAATATCTTTGAGGCCTAAGCCTCCTTCAGATTTTGGTGTACGACTCTTTCCCAACTTACTCGAGCTTCTGAAGCAGTAATATCCGATCCTTTCCAGAAATAACGAGAGCAGATTTGCTCTATCTTACTAATGATAGACTGAGACAGAACTAGCTGCCTACACCAGTAATTTGCGACGCTGAAGAGGACAGTTTTAATAAGCTTTAGCCTGCCAGCTTAACTCAATTTCATCCTCGACCATTTGTGAAGTTTGGATTTAATCTTATCAATAAGAGGCTGACAATCTTTTAAAGAAAGTTTTATGGTGACCAAGGGGATTCCCAGATATTTGACAAGCAGAAGGCCATGCTTGAACCCAGAAAAATTAATAATGTTATCAATAGTGGAGACATAAATACCAGCAGTAAATATCTCACACTTGAGAGCATTAAGTTTAAGCCCATAAATCTCATAGAATGAGTCAAGAACAGTAATTACTTCTATGACAAAATCAATATTTCCTTTGCAGAATATTAACAGATCATCAGCAAAAGTAAGATGTGTCAGGCCAATTTTCTTACACTTAGGATGAAAACCAAAAATCCCTTTACCAGCAGCTTTATTAAGAAGTTTGGATAGAACATTCATAACAAGAACAAATAAAAGAGGGGATAAAGGGTCACCTTGTCTTAGACCTTTGGCTCCTTTAAAAAATCCAATCAACCTTCCATTAAAGGCAATGGAGTATGAAGCATTAGAGTAGCAGGCAGTAATCCAGTCGATGAGTTTACTAGGAAGCTCTAAAGCCTTGAGAATAATAGGTATAAAGCCCCAGTGGATAGAGTCAAAGGCCTTTTGGAGGTTAATTTTTAGAGCACACCTAGGTGAAATAAATTTCCTCCCATAACCTTTCACTATTTATTGGGCAAGGAGGGTATTATCAACAATACTCCTCCCTTTGACAAAATTTGTTTGGTTAGGGGTAATAATCTTGGGCATTAATTGTGTGATCCTCTTAACAATGATTTTTGTAATGGACTTGTAGAGGACAGAGCAGTAAGATATTGGCCGAAAATCCAAGACTTTACTAGGATTGGGAATTTTAGGAACTAAGGCAATAATAGTTGTATTGAAAGCAGGGTAGATGAATGATTCTTGAAAGAAAAATTTGATAGCTTCAATCACTTCATCTCCAATCACAGGCCAAGCTTTCTTAAAGAAAAGAGGAGTATAACCATCTAGACCAGGTGCCTTGTCATTACCTTGGCTAAAAATTGCCTCTTTAATATCTTCATTAGTGAACTCCTTTGTGAGCCCCTCGTAATCTTCAAAAGAAGGAATCAGATGCAGCAGACCTTTTAGTAGACTAGTTGAACATGCTTTAACTTCAGGGTCAGAGAAACCAAATAGATTTTTGAAGAAATTAATAGCTTCATTAGACATGTCATCGAAGGTGTAACACCCCAACCCGTACCCGACCCGGATATGAATTCGAGATGTTACATTAACTTTTTAAAACCATATTCTTACAAAATTTCAAAAACATTTGAACTCATATTAAGAAAATACGATCATATATTGTTGAATTGTGTTCGTTATAACCAATTTAAGAAAATATACATTTTTTGAACAGTAAAATACTATATGAACAGTAGCATGTTACAGTGCTACAGTAACCTGCTACTATGGATGCATCGGTGCACAAATTAGGTTCGAAAGTCTCATGCATCGATGCATCCCTTAATGCATCGATGCATACTCAAATTTGGTCTTAGTGCATTGGTGCTCGTTCTTAGTGCATCAATGCACCTGTCAATAATAAACTGGTTTTACCTGAAAATTCCATAACTTTCCATTAAATTTCCTCATATAAAACTCCTTTCATACTACTAAATTCAACTACAACTATTTTAACTAACTCTTATCATTTCAACCCTTTAGAAATTCCCATATATCATTCAAATTCTTAAAACTAAGGATCATACTAAAATTTCCATGTAATCCAAACTTGTTTCTAACACTTATAACTTATTATTCACACCCATGACAAGTCAAATTCAACTTCTAAATCCATTCATACATCCTTATTCAAAATTTCACTAATCCACTTCCTATCTTTAATCCTCTATAACTTACAAATCTTAGAGTTTCTATGATCTTTTTCACATCCATCATCTTTCCTAAAGCTTCATGAATCAAACCCATGCTTTAATTTGAAGGATTAACCAAAAGAAATCAAACTTACCTTAAGCTTGGATGCTTCACGTTTGGAGAGAAAATGAAGAAGATAAGTCTCTGAAACTTATCTCTTCACTTATGAATCACATGGGTATTATAATACCCACTATCCAATTTTTAATTATTTTTCTGGTTTAAAGACCCATTTACCCTTTTAATTCTCCTTTATTTGCTAATTAAACCTACAACAACATCTTTCAATTAAATCCTTCTGTAGATGCTCGTTTTGTCCGGGCTTATAGAAGATTAAACAATTCGAATCGAGCCCATCATTATATCTAACCCAACCCGTGCTCAGTTGGATTATGCCAATAAGACAGGCAGTTTTGAGTAGGAAAAGAGGGGGAACGGTTTATAGAGAGTGGGGATCGGTTTTGAAAGGGATTAACCTCTGAAAAACTGGAGAGGATCAGCAGAACGAGAAAAGGCAGAGACCATTGAAAAAAAAACGAAAAAAAAACACAAAAAAAATCATCACAGGGAGAGACAGAGGAAAATCAGCAATTAACCGAGAGCAAAAAAACCTCCATTGTTTCTCTTTACAAAAAGAAAAACAGAAAGAACATTGTACTGGATTTTCTTGCTATTTTAGAGATTAAAGAATCACTCTTGGAAAGTAAACGCAGAAGTTCCTTATTTTCCACGAACCCAAGCAGTCAAAGCAAAAGTTCAATTATTTCAAGGTTTTTTTTTCTTTATTCTTTACAGTATCATTTCCTTCACTGGTTTTCATG